TACTACTCACCTTTAAAACTGCCACACATCACACCCATATTATGGAACTATTCCAGGGTGATTGGTCTACTCGAGAGACCTTGAACACAGAAATATTGTCTGGCTGGCGGGGGAGTGGGGGAGAAAGAGAAAAGCATTTGACAGGTGTAAATAAGAACAGAGGAAACAGGTCACAGTTGTCAACTCTTTACCTGATTACTAACATCTGCCAAACAAGTGCAATATTGTTGATATCGAGGAAGAATTTCTTTGTGCATTAAAATAAGGACAATTCTTTCTGATGAGGGAGCATAGACAAAAAATTTTGCAGCCTTAAAAAAAAAAATAGGCAAAACCCCTGTATTTCAAATACAAATGCAGCTGTTTGTAGAACATGGAACAGAATGTCTGTGTATGACTCATAAGTCACACAGACCTGCTGCACTACAAATTTCAATCAGTTTGGAAATAATGTGAGCATATATTTGACTAGCATGTGAACCCCAAAGAAGCCTGGGAGCGGCACTTTTGAGGTCAATAGCAATTCTTGAGGCTCTTCAAAGAGCTGCAAGTTTAAATAAACCGTGATAGCTGAGTCTGCAGTGCAGATGTGTAGCTTAATTTGCAACACAGATATGCCTGCAGAATTGGTAGCATGTCAAGCAATGGAGCAGTTGTTCTATGTATTACATAATATGGGACTATTCCTGGGTTCCAGTTTTCTCACTGGAGTCATAATGGCTTCTGTAGGTAGGAATGTTTATGCCCAGCTTAGTCTGGTTTGGCAGCTACAGCTGTTCCTGGATCAAGACTGCTTGGCCTTAGCTGCCCATGTTCTCATGATCTCCCACTTGGACTACTGCAGTGCACTCTGTGTGGGACTCCCCTTGGAGGTGGTCTGGAGGCTGCAGCTCGTGCAGAATGTGACTGTTAGGTTGGTAAGAGGGGCAGTCTGATAGGGCCATGTACCACCGACCATGAAAGCTGCCAATGAGTTACTGGGCCCAATACTAGCATAAAGGTAAAGGGACCCCTGACCATTAGGTCCAGTCGTGGCCGACTCTGGGGTTGCGGCGCTCATCTCGCTTTATTGGCCGAGGGAGCCGGCATACAGCTTCTGGGTCATGTGGCCAGCATGACGAAGCTGCTTCTGGTGAACCAGAACAGCTCACGGAAACGCCGTTTACCTTCCCACCGGAGCAGTACCTATTTATCTACTTGCACTTTGATGTGCTTTCAAACTGCTAGGTTGGCAGGAGCAGGGACCGAGCAACGGGAGCTCACCCCATCACAGGGATTCGAACCTCCGACCTTCTGATCGGCAAGTCCTAGGCTCTGTGGTTTAACCCACAGCGCCACCCGCGTCCCATAATACTAGCATACAAAGCCCTAAAAGACTTGGGACCCAAGTACCTAAAAGATTGCCTTCCTCAGTATCACATATTGATATTTATTATCCTGGTACCCATATTCCTCTTTCCTCTATGGAGGAAGGGCAGTGTACAAACCGAATGAATGAAAGAAATAAAATAAATTATTCCAAGTTGTTGAACCAACTTGTTCAGTAGGTATAAGGCTCTGCAGCATGTCTAGGCCAATGGTTGGCTAGTGGAGTGTTGGCTTTCAGTGAAAGTTTAGTTGCCAAATAGTCTTAAGAAGTGTCCTAGACTTTTAACAGAACTTGATCTGCACGCATCGTTTTTAATGGTGTGGAGATAAAATGATTTGTCTTGCTTGCAACAAACCATGAGCTGTAGCTGCGTTTTTCCAAATTCTAAGCTGTACTCATAAGAATAGCAAAAAGCAGCAAAATGTGTTTCTTTACTTTTTTGTATTAATTTCAAATATGTATATACTGCCTCTGATTCACATCATACTAAGGTAACATACAACAAAATAATTCAGTGCTAAACAACAATTATACAGTGGTACCTCGGCTTACATACGCTTCAGGTTACAGACTCTGCTAACCCAGAAATAGTACCTCTGGTTAAGAACTTTGCTTCAGGATGAGAGCAGAAATCATGCTTTGGCGGTGCGGGAGCAGCAGGAGGCCCCATTAGCTAAAGTGGTGCTTCAGGTTAAGAACAGTTTCAGGTTAAGAACAGACCTCCGGAATGAATTAAGTACTTAACCCGAGGTACCACTGTAAGTGATTCAACACAGAATACAAACAATTCATGAAAAACAATGTATCACAATTCACAGTAACCAAGAATCATTGAACTAGTGTCAGGTCACAAATTGTACCATGCTGTAAATAAGCCACAATTAATAATCTTAGAAATAATAAATCTTAGAAATAATAAAAATCACACACTTCAAGCCTAGAGCTATGCAATTTACAAAATGAGGTAAGAGTGCTGGCAGCATGTGGGATTAGGAACCAAACACCACTTTCAATTTAAATCTTCTTGTAACATCATCCTACCAAATATTAGATTAGTAAAGGTTACCCTAATGTTCCAAATTACTTTTAGATATTATGCAGGTTCACTCTTTATGAGGACTTCCTCACTGTGGCCTCATCCCATCTTTCTCTTTCCCTTATTTCAGTGATGAGAAAAAAGGTGTATAAAACTAAGGCCAAGTGCCGTGCTAATGTGTCAGCATTGCTTGACTCGCCAGTACAGTCATACCTCGGGTTACAGCCGCTTCAGGTTGCGTTTTTTTGGGTTACACACCCACCAAATCCCGGAAGTACCAGAACGGGTTACTTCCGGGTTTTGGCAGCCGCACATGCGAAGAAGCGCTAAATCGCACTTTGCGCATGCGCACCGAATCGCAACCCGTTCGTGCGCAGATGCGCCACTGCAGGTTGTGAACACTGCAGGTTGCGAACGTGCATCCTGCATGGATCACGTTCGCAACCCGAGCGTCCACTGTATAGTAGAAGAAACCATGTCATGATGCAACACTGCGTGGGGCTGTGCAGCAAAACTCTGTTCCCTTTTCTGTCTCACTGGAAATGCATCTATCGGCTCAGGTCATCTGTATGTGATACTATAATAAAATTAAGGTGTGGAGACTTTTCCCATAAGGGCATATAGTCATTGTTTAGAAGCAAGCAGATGATGCGCTACATTATCATTCAAAGGTCAAGTTTACTTTTAGAACAGAAGTGTAAATTCCATATTTAGGAGTTCTTCATTTATTTGCTGTTTAGTTGTGGCATGTTTTCAGTTGCACAGATAGCAAGTTAAACGGGAGCCAGTGCTTGTGACTCTTCATTGTTCACGGTAACTGGCAAATGAGTGGACAGTTCCCAAGTTGTCAAAACCTGGAGTTTCCATAATTGCTCAGTTGTGTAATATACGGGGTAGTAGTGAATGAGGAAAACCTAGGTTCCCCCCTACCCAAGATGGGCATAAATTGGGCAGCTCATCTAAGTACCAGCGTGGTACGCTTGTGCACACTTAAAATGTGGAGTGAGTACCATTCAACACAGTGTCTTACCTCCAAGTAAACACGTATAGGGCCAGGTGGTAAAAATGCAGTTTTTATTCTTGTAAAGCCAACATGCTTTTAAAAACTGGCTTGTTTCCTCCTACATTCCCATGCTAGAAAGTCTTTTTGGCCGCAGGGTTACCATGTTGAAACAAAGTAATGTTCCTGTGTAACATTTAAGTCTAGACTTTGCAGCCATAGTCAATCAGTGCCCCAGAGAAAAGAAAAGAAACAAGGTTGCAACCTGTGGTCCTCTTACTCTGCAGAATCTTATTCACGTTTGTGGTTGTCTGTAGTCTAATCATCCAATTTTGTAGCCATTACGAACGTACAACCCCATACTACTGTTGTTGTTTTTTGTTGGGAGTTACTTTTAGAGGGAGATAGATTTTTAAGCTTCCTTAAAGTAGATTTTTAAGCTTCCTACTCCCAAATCAAGATTCCAGAATACTGTATCTCTCATTTTCGTTGTTCATTCAACAAATCAAATCCACAGCAAAGCAATTTAAGGGGACATAAAAACCAGTGCGTCTACTTTACAGATATTCGTCGTTTTATTGGGCTGACTGTTGTTGGCCGCCTGACTGCTATTGGGCGGGCCGCTCCGTATACGAAAATTAGGTCATTTTAAAAAGTTGATTTCTTAGTTAATAAGAACGCATTTACTTGAAGAGCGGGGTTTGGCGCTTTAATAGCAGTTTCACAATCTCTGTACGCGCCTGTGTCGGGGATCATATTACTGGAGATCACAAGGCTTTGGCACAAGCTTTGGAGTCCTCTGTCAAGTTTTTACGCACGCACATTCTTTCCTCTGCCACTAGGGTAGCTTGCAGTCTCCCCGGGGACAGCGGGGCAGGGAGGTGGGGTGGAGAGAGGCGCGTTTTAGTTTCGTCCCTTGATGTGGCACGAGTCGAAAAGTTCGTGCCAAACTCTGCAGTGAGTGGAGCGCGGTATTAATTCTCTGGCTTCTGAGCCTGTTGGTAAAAGTAGCTTTCTCCCTGTCACCTAAAGTGTTTGGGAAGACGTGAAGCGTCCTGGCTGCGCCTTCGTGAAGGCTGGGCCCTTTCCAAGCCATCTGCAAGAAGCTGGAGTCGGCCACCGTATGAGAGACAACTGGGCCTCTCCTTGAACACAGAAACTAAAATGGTGCGCGGTTTTCCGCGCCCACTACGGGGCTCGTCGGCGCAAACGCAACGCCAGAGGCTTGGGAGGGTGGACTCCCTTGGCAGTTTCTCTCGTTTCCCTCTCAAACAGACCCGCAGACATTTCGCGCTTTCCCCATGAGATTTACAGCGTGGAAGAGCGCGAGTCCTTTGGCCAAATTTGGGGTTCTTTGTTCTCCAAGGTAGACGAAGGTGTCGGCGGGGGGGTCTCTGGGTTCCCCTTCCCACACACTCGCTCGATCCCTTCTCCCCCGCCCGCCACCGGAGAGCTCTTGGGCCGGCACGTAGAGAGCAGCGCCGCTGCCGCTGGTGCGCGCAAAGAGGCGAGGGGCGGCCGAGCGCGCCGACTGACTGGCTGCCCCGAGGAATGCGCGGTATGCAGGAGGCAGAACCAACCATTCGGCGGGACGGGCAGGGGGGAAGGGAGCGGCCGACGCCTCCTGCCGGCGCAGAACCCCGCGCGCTCGGGGGAGCAGCCCGCCCCTCGGGGGACAAAGGCAAGCGGCGCCGAGTGCCCAAGACTTCACTGTCGCCGCTGCAGCTTGGAGGCGTGGAGGCGGCGCGGTGCCTGCACTGGGCTGTTCCTTCCCCCCCACCTCCTCCCTCCTCTTCGGTTGCGCGCTCTCAGCCTCTGTGTGTGTGTGTGTGTGTGTGTGTTTCTCTCTCCCTCTCTGGGCGGTGGTTGAGGCCGGTAGTAGGTGCAGAAGTCGCCGCCGCGGATCGTAGTAGATCGATCAATGAAGTGACTTTTATGGCTGGCAGGCTGGGCTGATTGTCTGCGTTCAGCCTGGCTTTGCAGCCGCCAGGGATCCCGGGAGAGGGGAAGGAGGACGCGCAGCAGCAGCAGCGTTGCATGAGAGACTCAGCCAAGGGAGAAGAAGAGGGTGGAGGAGGCGGCGGCGGCAGAAGAGGCGTCGAGCCAGCCAGCGGCGGGAGAAGAGGAGCCCAGTCCCAGCAGCCGGCGAGGGAGAGGCACTTCCCCGCGGCCGCCTCCCTGAATCGCGCGCCCGCCAAGTTGCCTCCAAAGTTGCTTCCCGGGCGGAGGGGAGGCTCGCTGTTTGGCTGGGCGATGATTTTCCCCAACAGCAGCAGCAGCAGTAACTCTGCGGGCGGCGGCAGGACTCCTTATAGAAAGCAGGTAAACGGGGTGGGGGGTGGGGGTGGGGAATCGCGTTATAATATTTGTGGGTGGGTATGGCAGGGGGAGAGGCGGAGGAGGTCTCGGGGAGGGGAAGAGGGGTGGGGACTTGGAGGCGTCGGGGCTTGCTCTTGAGCAGTCTGCGGAGGAAGCGTCTTCGGGCCACCCCACCCCCACCGCCCGGGGGGAGGGGGGGCTATAGACAAGAAGTCTGTGTCTCTCTTAAGTTTATGTCACGTGCGATCCTCATTAACCTTCTCTCTCCTTCCCACCCCACCCCACCCCTGGAGATTTAAGAAAGGACATCTTTTGCCTCCTCGTAATTGGGTTGAGCAGGAGGTGCCAGATTGGGCAACTTTCCTAGGTGGTACAACCACTGCAGCCCAGGGGGAACTCCCTATCAGGCTCCGAGCAACAAGTGAGGGGGTTTTCCCCCCTCTTTGGCTCCCCCCTTCTTTCTTTTTTTTTCCTTTTGGCTTTCTAGAGCCTGCGACATCATGGTTTGGAAATCGAAACTTTGAGACCGACCGTTTCCGTTTTTACTGAAACAGCCAAGTAGGAGTGGGAACCCCTTAACGCGAAGCAACTCTACTTATATCCTTAAATTAAAATAAAAAGCCACCCCCCAAAATAGTGCGGTCGCAGGTCTTGATGGCCCGTACTTGTGGGAAATATCCCCCCAGGTAAAAAAACAAAAACAAAATACATTTGGGATAAGACACCCCTTTAGTATAATAATAATAATAATAATAATAATAATAATAATAATAATAAATAATATATGTAAGGTAAAAACATGTGTAATTACTCCCATTGCCATTCTTTAATCTTAAGGAATAATGTTTAAAACGTCTTAAGGGGTAACTAGATGCAAAATTCTTATGGATTTGTTTCCCGCCCACTTCCTTCTCCATCCTGTCTCAGACTGTAGGAAAATTGGATTCTAATAAATAGGATGAATCTGCCTCAGTCTGACATGCTGATTTAATTATGCCGAAAAAGGACATCGTAGTAGGCAGAGTTTGTACAATGGTTGTTGTACCAATAACTTGCTTTTAAAAATAAGATGGCAGTTGGAAATGCCTCCTTCAACAATCTTCTGAGCGCTTCGTTGTTCATTATGAAGCAGTTGTGGTTCATTCATTTTTTACTTTGCTGCCTTCCACAAAGTTCTTTTGCTGTTGGATGTTTCTTTGTTTGGGTATGCATGTATTGTGTGTGCGTGTTTGTGAATCCTCTTTTAGAGGTGATCAGGAAGAAATTGGGTTAGAAAATAAGAACTCATGGTTTTCTTGTGGTGGGGAGTTGGGCCTGTTCTCAGTAACTTAAAGGAAGTGAATCAGTGCCTGTGATGACTTCAGTGAGATTACACCAATGTAAGTGGTTAAATAAGTTAATTATTGTAACTTTACAGGCATGGGGGGTATGGTTTTGCTGTTTCATTTTACTTATTTACAGGTTTTTGTCCTGTATTTTATTCTGCGAACTGCCCTGATAACTTACAATGAAGAGTGACACATAAATTTAATGAATAAAATAAATAAATAAAATAGCAGAAATGGCCTGTCTTTGACTTTATTGTAGGCAGAGAATAGTTACTGTACAATATATACTTCTGCCAAGGATTTCATGGAGTACTGATTTAATTTTTAAAGCCACCTCACCAATAGTTCTTGAGGATGTTGTGAATTTCATAAAGTACTTTGAACGATGAAAACCCTATCTTATTTTGTTTCGTGTTTTACCAAGTTTTAAAGCCTTAATTTGTAAGTGTTGGTAAATTTCATTAGTTGGCATAGTTAGTGGATACTTTTGGTTAGCTGGTATCCTCTCACTTTTTAATAGAGAACTATTGCCGTGCGGATGGTACAGTAAAGGATAGCATTATTCGGTCTGCAAATACTATGTAAACAAATACTTAGGGAGTGTTGGAGTCTGAAAAGCTAGTTAATTAAGCCAGGCACTTTTTGGAGTCTTGTGTGTTCATTGATTTGTCAGTGGCACCATGGGCTGTTGGTGATGAAAGGCGGGGTGGGGGGGGAGTGCAGAGGGCAAGCCTTTCACTTGGAAGGGGTGTATGTTTTGCATGCGGATGTGAGTCGGCCTGCTGGTCTGGAACACACTGATAAGATGCTCTTCTTTTCACAGTGCACTCCTTGAATTCAAAGAGCTAAAAGGGCTGACTGAATCAGAAAAACAAACAGACTTCTTTTTCAATGGGGAGCGGAAAAAACGAATGTGTGGTCATTATGTGGTCCTAAGACCCTGGGTACCAAAGATTCCTTTTATTGGTGTCAAGCCATTCTTTGGTGAAACACTTCCCACACAGGGAAGGCCGAGTGTGCCTGCATTCTTGCCTGCATAAGCTCCTATTGATTTTAATTGGGGACAACTGTGGCTCCTCGTCACTCAAAAGTGCTTTTCGTGATGTCATTTTTGCAGATGTCTTTATGAATCTAGGTGATTTTAAAAAAGTGGTTGTCTGGTTTTTAATGTGCAGATATTCTTTTTCACCCTAAAATTATCCTAATATTTTAAAATAGAAAATTTAATGACCCGTGTTAAGCTTTTCAGCGCAGGTTCCACACACACACACACACACACACACACACCGCTCCAGTATGTTTCCCAGTTTTTTCATTCAGTTAGAAAAATCCAATAAAATTCAATACATTATTGTCACATTATATCCCTTTTTAAATAACTGTAAGTCATAATATAACATAAATGTGCCTTTTCATGAAGCATATATCATAAGAACACATATGCTTTTGTTGTTGATCAGACAAAATAATAGAGTTAAAACAAAACAAAAACAAAGCGTATATGTTATTATGATATCGTTCTACAAGATAATAAAGTCTGGGTTCCAAAATCTTTTGAACTATCATTGAGGCGCTCTTAGTATATGTCACAGGGTAGTCCCATACATATCTACTCAAAATGAAGTTCCTTTCAGCTCAGAGGGCTTACTCCCACTGAAGAGGTAGAGAAGGATGGGCCGTCCTAGGTCCTAGAGCCTGGACAACCTTGGGGCAATGCATAAGGCAAAGGGAAGACAACTTTTGTAGAAAGAAATTGTGCATTAATTTCAAAACGTTGAAAAAATATTCATGTGTCTTCCATATGCGCATGAGTGTATTGCTGCTTAAATAACCTGTTCACGTTACAGAAGAATATATAATTACAGTACTTTGAGTAAAGACCTGCTATACTGCTTTCTGCTTCTCGTCTACATTAGTCATAGGAGCCAGTCAGCTAGATCTCTCTTTTTTCAGGTCAGAAAGAGATAGGTGGTGCCTAATCTTTTCCTGTATTCTACTGTTATGGTGAACAGTGAACACTGATCTCTGAAGTCATCTGTTTAAACAGGATTTTCCAGCATCGTGGTCAGAATGGAGCATGCTGAAGTCCTCTTTTGCTCAGGTCAGAATTACTTTGGAAACTGTGGCTAGGTAATACAGAATAATGGAACACAGTTGAAATGTGCATGTGTACTTTTTCTAGAATATCCAGATACAAATCATAATCTTCCAAGCAAAAGCAGTGATGTCTTTAAAAGTTATTGATGCTTTACTTTAGACAATATTTAAAATTGAAAGGGCATTTTACCAACAAAGAGGCTACCTTGGAGCACTATCAAATTTTAACTCTTTTACCAAATACGTTTTTGTCTTAACCGTTTCAGAAACCTGTTTATGCAGTCTGGTTTTTCCTTCTCACTTTGTATAAATCAGAGACATTTCTTTGAGACTCCTGGGTATTGCTACATGAATAGAGAATTGGGGTGTTTTCACAGGTGATGCAAATTTAGCCTGGAATTTTGTTTCTTGTGAATCTTAGTGTGAGACAAGAGAGCGGCTTCTCAAATGCATTTGAATTGCAGATGTGAAAGCAAAAACTGATTTAAGCTTTCCTTAGGAAAGCATGGTTCGATTCTGTATGCAATTTGTGCCTCTGCAGAGCTGGTGAAGAAACTTGACTAGGGGAGGAAGTTGGTGTGTGTGTGTGTGTGTGTGTGTGTGTTGCCAGTCAGTACTGCTTGAAAATGAGTTGGTTGTAAGACAACCCGTTTTGTGAGGTGTTTAGCTCCCCTCCCCAACATCCACTTTTGCCAAGTAACAGTCATTCTTGTTGCATGTTGTTACATTTTTGATGACTGTAATGTTTATCTCACTAGCATAAGTAGATTTACATAGTTTGCTGCTTTCAAGCAGATTAACTGGGCGTAGCTGCATGTGAGGAATTTAACACTGATTCAGTGCTTGGCCTTGTTTAGTGGCTGACACACAAAACTCTTGATCCCAGGTCTGTTCGCAATAGGATTTGTATTATGAATTTTAAATTTGGCTAAAACTGGCTTTTTTCCTTCTTCTTAGAAGTAGTAAAAAGAAAAAAGCTATATGGCGATCCAAGTTTAAAACCAACATTTTGATTTTAAAGTATACCATCAAAGCATCAAAATTCCTTCTTCAATTTTTATATTTTTTTCTAATGCGGGTAGATAGTGACGGTATAGAGATTTGAAAGGCAAAGCCTTATACAAGGGAGAGGAAAAAGCTTGGTGATGCATTTTAGCTCAGTAATTTGCAGGAAACTAAAAAGCACCCCCACCAGCACACTTTGATCCTAAAAACTCTTAATATGTTTAGATTTTTATAGTTGCATTTGAACTTGGAAAAGCATGTGTATACAAATGCCTTCTGGATTAACATTTAGGCATCAGTCCACAATTAATTTACTCAGGAATAATCCTATTAAAAATGGGATTTGTGGAGTAAAAGATACTTCAGATATCAATTTTCTGCACACAGAGTAGTTCTAGCTACAGAATAATGTTTCTTATGACTTGCAACAGTTGCATACGCATGTGTTTCTGCATATGTACATGAAGTGCTTTGCACTTGAAGCTATGGCCTGTTGTAGTTTCCAGTGTGAGCATGAAGTGAAATTATTTATGTGTCATCATCTGCTTGCAATTCTTTTTTTCTTTTCTTTTT